GCCGGGCAGGGGGCTCGGGGGCCGGGCCGGCGGTGCGGTGCCGAGCCGGGCAGGGGGCTCGGGGGCCGGGCCGGCGGTGCGGTGCCGAGCCGGGCAGGGGGCTCGGGGACCGGCAGTGCTGGGCGGGCCGGGGGTGCTCGCCCGGGGGCCCGGGCTGGCACCCCAGAGCCCGAGTCGACCCAGGCTGGAGATGCCGGGGGGGCCAGACTGGGCCGCGCCTCCTCCCCCCACACCCCACTTACCTGCTTCAGGCTTTCCGTGAATCAAATGTTCGGGGGAAGCAGGGGAGGGGGCGGAGTTGGGGTGGGGACTTTGGGGAAGGGGCGGAGTTGGGGCGGGGCGGGGCCGGGGCCCCGTGGAGTGTCCTCCTTTTGGAGGCTCAAAATATGGTAACCCTATCAATGGGTCAATTGTATAGCTAATGGGCCATCAAGCAGGCTAGGCAATGCTGATGCCAGACTGTCTGAGGGTGTCACCCAGAAGCATAGCACAAGTTTTGTAATACAGACATACATACGTATCTATAACCCAATATCCAAAGGTGATACAAACACAAATGAGATTATCATATTTGGCAAATTATAACATTTTTGCAGATCTTAAATGGCATATCTGACAACTCATTGCAGTTTTACAATATTAATATCCTCAAGTATCTCCCAGATTCCATACAGCATCTGAACAAATAGAGCTGTCTGATTTTTTTTTTCACTAGTGTTCCTGAGATCAGACTCTGGCCCTCTGTATTTAACACTTGCATACAGTGTAAAGCCAGAGTTATTTATATTGCCCCATCAGCATGTAAGGAGCTCCTTAAAACGTAAACTTTGCCAAACAAATGTGAATGTCCTTGCCCCAGCGAGCTTGCAGGCATGATGACTGGTACAATGTGATAAAAAACACAAAGTCCTGCATCTCGTCTGCATAAACAGAACACTTCAGAGAAGAAGAGGCTTCTTACAAGTGGTTGGAAGGAGTGGATGAAGAGGTATCAATTCAGTTTAGTCCCATGTGTCCTGCACACATGAGAAAGGAGTGTTAGTGTCCTGGCAGGAGGGATGCAGCTAAAGGAAGCTGGAAGCGTTCCCCACATGGAATACAACTTTGAATTTAATGTCATATGTAGATGATAAGATTTCTATCCTTGTGCACAGAGCTTAGATTACAAAGCAAAATTAGAGTGTCAAAATAACAGCTGTCTCTCCTCAACTTGGGGGCTCTCATGATGTTTCCCAGGAGGGCTTCATGCAATTTACTATCCTTACACTCATCTCACATAAATCTTTTACCAAGTACTGTGCCACTGAGGATTCACTCACCAGCCTCATGGCCTTTTTTCCTGAATCTGCTACAGAGATACTTCCACCACCAACCCACCACATTCTCTGATACCACAATTCAATCTGATGAGATCTGACTCTGTCAAGCACAAAACCCATATCACCTTAGTGTCAACACTTTGATGTCAGAAGTGCTGATTCATAAAACAGGTTATAGAAGAGTTGCACACTGTGGAGAAATTTGGTCCATTTCACTTCCAGATTTCTGCTCCTAAATTTGTGTGCCTCATTCTGCACCTCTGTAAGATGTGGGCTTTGATACAGTAAGAGCTGTGGCTCCTAGCTGTACCCACTGCCTTTTGGGGAGGGAGGCCCCCCGCCCCCACCCCCGAATCCTTCACTACATCTATCCATAGACGGCCTCTCCATTGATTAATCCCCTCAGCTGTCAGGATCACAGTGATGTTTGACTGTTTCTGTGTTTGAAGAAACGCATAGATTCAAAGCTCCCATTCTACAGCATATGTCCTATCTGAACGTACAATTAGCCCATGTTTTAGAAGCCAGCCCTTCATTTATGTTAGGAAGACTGCATTTTCTATGGAACAAGCTGCAGAAACTGTAGATATAGAAAACTGGGGATACATATGTGTGTGTTTGTGAGGGGTAGGGTTGGTGTGTATAAACTGAAAGCAGGCAATTACAAACCAGCTTTAGAAAATACCTTGGTTTCCACTCCCTAGCGAGCAGCTAATCCCATGACAGTACTA